GCGAGGAATTTGGCACCTCTAGAACTTGTTCATTCCGATTTGTGCGAAATGAACGGCGTGTTGACTAAAGGGGGAAAGAAATATTTCATGACACTGATAGATGATTGCACTAGATTTCTTTATGTGTATCTATTGAAAACAAAGGATGAAGCTTTGCATTACTTTAAGACCTATAAAGCTGAGGTAGAAAACCAACTTGAAAGGAAAATCAAACGGTTGAGGTCTGATAGAGGTGGGGAGTATTTTTCCAATGAATTTGCATCCTTTTGCAAAGAGTTTGGAATTATTCATGAGAGGACGCCTCCCTATTCACCCCAATCAAATGGGGTGGCCGAAAGAAAGAACCGCACTCTAACTGAGATGGTGAATGCCATGTTAGACACTGCAGGGCTTTCTAAGGAATGGTGGGGTGAGGCAGTTTTGACTGCGTGTCATATCCTGAATAAAATTCCAACGAAGCATAAGGAAGTGACACCATTCGAGGAATCGGAAAGGAAGAAATTAAATCTCTCGTACCTACGAACATGGGGCTGTTTGGCCAAGGTAAGTGTACCTATAGCCAAAAAATGAAAACTTGGACCAAATACTGTTGATTGTGTGTTCCTTGGTTATGCTATTCACAGTGTGGGTTATAGATTCTTAATAGTAAACTCTGGAGTACCCGACATGCGTGTTGGTACAATTATTGAGTCTAGAGATGCTACATTCTTTGAGAATGAATTTCCCATGAAACATACACCTAGCACTTCTAGTCAAGAAACTGTCATGCCCCATGAGCACTTTGCACCGATAGAACACAATGATCAAATGCCTGAGGGAAATCCTGAGGAGCACAACATTGTAGATACTCATAAGAGTAAGCAACAAAGGGTTGCAAAATCCTTTGGAGATGACTACATTGTATACCTTGTGGATGACACCCCAAGAACCATAGAAGAGGCATATTCATCTCCTGACGCTGACTACTGGAAGGAAGCAGTACGCAGTGAGATGGACTCGATTATGTCTAATGGTACTTGGGAAGTCATTGAGTGTCCATATGGGTGCAAGCTTGTAGGATGCAAATGGGTTTTCAAGAAAAAGCTTAGGCCTGATGGTACAATTGAAAAGTACAAGGCAAGGCTTGTGGTCAAGGGTTATACCCAAAAGGAAGACGAGGATTTTTTCGACACATACTCACCAGTTGCTCGCTTAACCACGATTCGAGTACTACTTGCTCTGGCAGCCTCTCATGGTTTTCTCGTCCATCAGATGGACGTTAAGACAGCTTTCCTAAACGGAGAGCTGTAGGAGGAGATCTATATGGATCAACAAGACGGGTATGTACTAGAAGGTCAGGAGGGAATAGTGTGTAAACTGTTGAAATCCTTGTATGGCCTTATGCAAGCACCTAAGCAATGGCATGAGAAGTTTGACACCACACTTACATCTGCTGGCTTTGTTGTGAACGAAGCTGACAAATGTGTGTACTATCGCTATGGTTGGGGAGAAGGAGTAATCTTGTGCTTATATGTCGATGACATATTGATCTTTGGGACCAGCCTCAATGTGATTGAGGAGGTCAAGGACTTTCTGTCCAAGAGTTTTGAAATGAAGGATTTGGGAGAGGCTGATGTTATTCTTAACATTAAGCTACTAAGAGGAGATGAGGTTGGGATTACACTTGTGCAATCCCACTATGTGGACAAAGTTTTGAGTCGCTTTGGATATAGTGACTGCAAGCCAGCTCCTACTCCTTATGATCCCAGCGTGCTATTAAGGAAAAACCCAAGAATAGCAAGGGATCAACTAAGATACTCTCAAATCATTGGTTCATTGATGTACTTGGCTAGTGCAACGAGGCCTGACATCTCATTTGCTGTAAGCAAGCTGAGCGGATTTGTCTCAAATTCGGGAGATGATCATTGGCAGGCTCTGGAAAGAGTAATGCGCTATCTAAAGGGCACTATGAGCTATGGAATTCACTATACCGGGTATCCAAAAGTACTCGAAGGATATAGTGACTCAAACTGGATATCTGATGCTAATGAGATAAAAGCCACAAGTAGATATGTGTTCACACTTGGAGGTGGCGCTGTTTCTTGGAAGTCTTGCAAGCAGACCATCTTAACGAGGTCAACAATGGAAGCAGAACTTACAGCACTAGATACTGCGACAGTTGAGGCCGAGTAGCTTTGTGAACTCCTGATGGATTTGCTGGTGGTTGAAAAACCAGTGCCAGCTATCCTAATGAACTGTAAACAGTGATTATTAAAGTGAACAGTTCAAAGGACAACATGAAGTCATCTAGGCATATCAAGAGAAGACTGAAATCTGTAAGAAAGCAGAAAACTCCGGAGTGATAGCATTGGACTATGTCCAAACGACTAGAAATCTGGCAGATCAGTTTACTAATGGGCTACCACGTAATGTGATAGACAGTGCATCGAGGGAAATGGGCTTGATACCCACCTAAGGTTGCACAATAGTGGAAACCTGTCCATTGTGATCGGGGATCCCGTGAATTTGGATGGCGAAATAAACTATTGTGTGACTGAGAGAAGAGACCCTTGAAAAGGGCTCATTTTCATGATGTACTTCTCTTCTTTTCTGCATGGTAGGATGGCTCATGCCTTAATGTGATCCGAGTGGCTTTTCTAAGTAGAGATGTTGACCTGCAAAACATCTCAGAAGGAACACACCTATATGAGTTTGACTGCTAGTCATAGTCTATGAGATTTGGGCGATCTCTAAATACTCATGAAAAGGCCTGGAGTTTGACTTATATGCTCCAAACAGAGGAGATGCGAACGGCAGCCCAGTACCAGTAAAGGGTTTGAGTGAAACCTGATCACACAAGACTGACAATTCAAGACATAGTCCATTGTTCAGTTGTGCTCTGATGTAGCTCATTTCCTAGGTGAAAGTTCAACTTAACAGTCTCCACCAAAACACTGGTATATCAAACAGGCACAACCTTGAGAACATTTCTTATGAGCCTTGAAATTTTGTGGGGATTGTTAGAATAATTGGGCTAGGCCCGATTTATTCTATTAAATCTCAAAGGCCCATAATAAGTGTTAAGGATAATAATACCACCTCAGAAATTAAGCGAGGAGTATCTCAACTTAAATAGGGAGTTATTGAAGGCTACCTGTTGACAGGTTGGGGTGGGAATCGGAAAGCCACGCGCGCCGAGCCGGGACGAGGGTGAGGGCGTGGGTGTGGGCGAGGCGTGGCGTGTGTCGCGTCTGCCTCTATCCTTTTTGCAACCACGATCCCACAATCTGACGATTGCCTCCGTAACGGCGCGTGCACGATCCCACGACGCGCATGCGGCAACTGGCAGATATCACTCCTGCTATATAAGGAGGCCGCTAGTCCGATCAGAACCTCTCGCTTGCTTTCTCTCGCTGGTGTTCTTCCTCCTCCGCGCGCCTGTGCTGCCTCTTTTCTGCTTCCTTGATTCTGATCGCTAGCGCGCACGAGAGATCGGAAGGAGCAGGGCCTTCGGAACCACACCTTCGCCTGAGATCTGCACCGGGTAGGCGGGTGATCAGGTTTTTGGGGAGTGCTTCCGCACGACTGCTCTCGACTTTTGCTCTGTTCGTCGTCGTCTCGTCGTTCACCATGTCTGCACCTGGAGCCGCTAGCGCCGTCTCTAGAGATGGCGCGCCTGGAGCCAGAGCCGCTGCCGCTGCCGCTGCCGCCGTCTCTGGAGATGGCATGCCGGGAGCCAGAGCCGCTGCGAACGTTAACATCAACAGAGGCAGTTCTGCCTCACAATCCAGCGGAGGGCCATTCTTGGGGTATGTCTTTTTTCTACTGTTAACTCATTCTTTGATACCTCTGTTTGTCCTGTTAGTCGTAATTCTATTGCGTTCTTGGTATGTTCATGATGCTTATTATACTTTAAGCATGCTCCTGGTTATGCTACATTTTATCACTAGATCATCCCACATTGTTCATGCCATGATTATTGTCTTAACATTTTGGATTAAAATATGCCGATATATGACTATATTTCCAACAGTGGTGTAGCGATTGCACGGCGTCCTGGACTTGTTCGGCGTCCTGGACTTGTTCTGGTTGGTAGCCACATCGCAAACGTCGCACTCGATCAAAGCGAGAGTTATCCCCCTTACCAGAAGATCGGGCCACGAGAGAGAGCGTCATCAACTACGTGTGCGAGATGCTTGGAATCAATGGGAGATACACAACAACTTTTGAAGAAGTAAGTTCAGAGAGTATCTTCTACACGTGAAGATTATTCCAAACATTCAGTATGTCTTTTTTTTAAACAGATCCCGTCCATTCCAATTGTAGCGAACCGGTTCGACAAACAAACCATTCTAAACTTGTGTGCAGATATTTACCGCTTCATCCGCCATGATTGCTGCAACTACTTAGGGTTATACGATCCAGAGAGCCAACTTGCAATGGACATAATGTGATTTTTATGAAAACTTGCAATACTACTATATCTTTTATCAGAATATATGCATTCTACTATCTTATTTATGTCATGATGTGATTTTTTAATACGTGTGACTAACGACGACTCCGATATGTAGTACACGTACCATTCGAAAATTCGATTATTAATACTAGTCAATAGAGGACGACATCTTCCCAAGCGGCTATTGGATGCATGGGAAGATCCATCTTCGCGTGCGGTCGCATTAAGTCGACCGCTCAGAAGATTGATCTTCCCGTGTGGTTACAGGCCAGCTTTCGTACAGGAAGATGCCTTTCGGCCCGCCTAGAAAAACCTATTCTATAGTAGTGACACCTCCTATCTCTAATCGAATATAGAGGCCATGTGAGTAACCGATACCCATATTCTCAACACATATGTTTATCTTGTAACACAAACACCTGCCCAATTTAGACAAGCAAAACGCACATAGTCTTGATGCATCTGCAGTGAAGTCGGAATTGATATACTAATTATAGCAGCATGTAGCTACCGTCCAGTATTCTTTGCTTCTTCCACTCTCAAGTTGTTAAACAGCATAGGTACAGGTACTCGCAGAAAATCCTAGGATGGGAATGAGTGGGTGAAATTACCCCCACAAAAACCAACTCTGCAACTCTTTACCTTTTTTAGTTTGCCTTTGTTCTTTGCGGTGTTTCGTTTTCACATCCCTGGAAATTTTCAGAGCAAAGACAACGTTTGTTGCAAGAGGAAAGAGGTACGCTTGGTGCAATATTCAGTTCATACTAATTTTCTATACATCCATACTTTTTGTGATGTTCTGGTACGCTTTTTTTATTCTACTCATAATTTTCAGGGTGGATTGGTCAGGTTTGGTTGCAGCTTGGATTTTTTCTTAAGAAACAAAAGGCAGCATTGCAGCTTAATTGATCTGGAGGGAGAGGAAAGACAAAGATTTTTGTAATTGGAAATATATCGTCGTGTCAGCGGAATGCTTCTTGTGGATGTGGTAATCCTTGCTCTTAAACAAATGGCTGACATAATTCATAAACCAATCAAGCCTGTAAAATACTGTATAATACCTCTTATTTTTATGTAATTATTTGGCATTGCCTCATTCGATTTTTTTTTTAGAAAGTTGTTCTCGTGACATAATTGAGATGCAGAGATTTTTCCTTTGGGACAAACAAATTCAATTTCCTGACAGGTGTCAATTTCATGTATATTAGAGCAGTTTTATTCCAGAAAGTGGAAATTCACCATGCTTTTTGAAGCTACATAAGTACATAGTTTCAAAAGGTGTGGCGAATTTCTACACAACAGAATAAAACTACAGTACCAATTGAAAATCATGGAGGTCGGAGATGCTCTCCATAATAATCCAATACTTGAAGATCGACTGTAATAATAAGCCATGTGGAACATATAGATAACTCAAATTTTGTTGTGTTCGGCTATGTATTCTATGTTATCCTAATAAATATTTCTGAACTCCCTTTGATAAAGGTGAAGACCGGCTGAGTTCAAGCAATTCATGCTATGTTTATTCTAGTGCAGAGTACGGGATAATTTATGTTCCAAAAGGTAATCTTTTAGAAACTCTCCACAAGTTACGAATTCATTTTTGAAAGGATACTTAACCTTTTTGATGAATCACCAGGAATTAAATGGTCCATAAGCAGGAAGGCAATAACAGTGAACAGATGAGCACCACTCCTGCCCCTCCGGGCGAAACCAGTAGACAGATTCCATCTAGAGATGATGCCAAACATGAGAAGGAAGCGGCCAACTCCTCATCTTCCTCATCATCAGAGGAAATAGACGAGGATGATTTCTTTCAGATAGAAGGCCCAATACTCAGTACCCAGTACTCCCTGTCTCCTCCACCTGCAGAAGGTGGCAACCGAGACGCAAAGCAGGCAGATGAACCCCATGACCCAAAGAGGATCCCGTCCGCTGTCTTTGCGAGATCCAAGTCATCAACACCAACTGACTGGAGCATCACCTCCAATGAATCTCTCTTTAGCATCAATGTCGGGAATGCGAGCTTCTCCAAGGATCACATGTTTTTGTATGGCAAGTCAGGAGAGCTGGGTGCTAATGATCCATTGCCACCATTGCCAAAGCAGAGCCCAAGCTCCAGCCCTCTAAAAGGTGAGGTGGCCACACCAGAGAAGCCTAGTACTTCCAAGGAGAAGGGGGATGGGCGTGGACTCACAGACCGGAATGGGGACGACAATACAGACTATACCCATAGCTCGTCACACCGATCTGATGGAAGCACAACAAGTTTTGCATTTCCAATGTAAGAATCCTCTGTCAACTCTGTTAGCTACAGTTGCTGCAAAACACGTCCAATTATTTACTTTGGCCTTGATCATTGTATCACCATACAATATTGTGAAATAACCACTTTAGAAATATTGATATGCATCCATATGAAATATAAACTGGTATAAAAATTAATGAAGCATATAACTTGCATCAAACTGTCCTACTGCATTTTGTATTGTTCATCCTAAGCACACAAGGATTGATAGTTCGTACTAATGGTGGTGTGAATTTGTGATAACTTCCGAATATTAGTAAAAACCAGGAATGTACTTTTAGACAAAAAAATCTTTGTCTTCTTATGTCGCGAAAGGTTCAGCGGATGCTTTCTGAACCAAGGTTTTCTGCATATCTGATATGCCGATTTCTATGCAGATTGACAGGGTCAGCGAAAACAAGTGGGTCCTTGAAAGATAGCCATCCGGAGTTAGCTCGGCAAACCACGGCGCAGCTGACGCATCCCAGCGAGATGCGTGATGAGAATGAGAATAAGGAAACACCATTTCCAGCAGTTGTAATGGAGGCACCAAAAGTCGAAGCAACCCCAGCAGCAGCAGCAACAGCACCTGCACCACCAGCACCACCGGCCACAACAAAATGGTTTCCTTGCTGTTCATGCTGCCCTTTCTGTTGCTAACAGCAAAGGGATATGCAACTTCATCATCCATGTCCATTTGCCTATTGAATCCTTAACTAGTGGAAAGCTTTGAGCATTCGACACATTCATTTATACATGCTGACATTAGTACAAGGATAAAATTCCTGGTTCAAAAGGAACATCGGAAACCAATTAATTATTTGCTCTGAACAATGTAGATTATGTTAGATATGTACAGTACTGTCTCTTTCTCATTTTCATTAACAGATGTAAACAGCGTAGCTTCTTGATATTCGTTAGTTCCCTAGACGAAATTAAGCTTATTTATTTGTCCGTATTTTCAGATGATGTTGTCCACGAAATAAAACTAAATACTCCCTCCATTCCAAATTGATCTATATATTTCATAGGTACATCAAGACCAAGAAAAGCTAATAACTCTCTCATACTATATTTACTCTAGCAACAAACTCAATGCATGCACCATCCCCACTATTTCCTAGCCAATAGAAAATCAATATATTGCATGTGGGTTATAAATGCTTGTGTGCATGCATGCATCAATGTCTATTTACTTCGATGCACAAATAATGAATAGACCTAATGAATGAACACAAATATGTAGATCATTTAGTAATAACTAAAAAAACTATATGTAGATCAATTTAGAATGGATGGAGTATCAAACATCTTATCATGGTAGCTCTTGCTTTACATCAAAACTTAATGTGATATGGCAGTGGCAGCTCATTACCAAAAAACTAAAAGAAATACTAGTTCGTGCACACAGTTTTGGACTTTTGGTAGCATTTAGGTATCCAAAGCAACTGAGACTAATTCTTGGTTCAAAAATTGAAACGGAAATGCGATGGAAATGAATAAAAAACGAATGACTACGTAGTGTGATAAGAGAATCACCTGAGGCCTTGTTGGGTTAATCCGAGAGAGACAGGGATTAAAGATAATTGAGGCCTTGTTTGGTTAATCCCCAAGAGAGAGAGAATGGTGTGCAGCAAATCCTCCTCAATCCTCTTGTGAGACGGATTAACCGAACAAGACCTGAGGGAGAATAATTCCACACCTCAAATACAGGCATGAAAAAGATCAAAGTGACTTATAATATGAAACGACTGAAATAATGCTTAATATCAGCAACTGAGTGTGAGTAAGCTAAGTCAGTCTCTAGTTCTCCAAACAATATAGATTCTCACCCATATTATAAGAAGTTGTAACTATCCAATCTAAGAAATGAACTAATCTAATTAGGGATAGTTAGATAGGAAGAACCAATCTAACTATTCCTACTTGGTAGCCAAGCAATATCCTCATGGACCATAACTAATCTAGTAAGGTTTATAGCGTAAAAATGGTGGTTTCAGTAACAAAACCGACGTGCCATCTATTCATTTTATAGAGAATGAAAATCAAAGCTACTCAAGCTTTTCAGCTAAAAACATGATTCAAAATTCAGCTAGACTATGTGTTCAGCCAATGTTTCCAGGTCGCCACAACGCTGAGATCATCGGCACTCGCCAACGCTAGTTCTAGCTCAATTGTGAGGACGATGTCTAGGCAACCGTCCATGAGAGCTTGTTGTGCAGTGGAATGTCAGGCGGTTGGCAGCGATGCTGGCTTCCCCACTCTCACAAGAACCAAACACCGAGTGATCGTTGCTGATAAAGGTGATGCTGCCAACCCATGGTCTTTAGGACGCAGTGGAGTACAGTAATTTCGACCAACCTGAGGCCAGGAGGGTAATGGAAAGCATCCTAAGATGGGAGATGGTCCTTACTGAGATGATCCACTGCTCACCATCAAGTACTTCATGCAAGATGCCTAGGGTGCCATTAAGTTGATGAGTGTCGGCATGGATTATGGTCTATGTGGGCATCCCGAGTATTATACCATCCAATCCTCAATGCGAGCACCATACGTATTCGTATGAGTTAGATCCATACACGTATAAATAGCCACTCACCCTCTCCATTTTCGTGTTGACAAGTGCTAATGGTTATGCATGGTATAAATCATGGGATACTCACAGACTATGTGAGTAATTGCGTTGAGAGTATGAATCCATCCTATTCCACCATGGGAATCAATCAACAATTTCGACATGCGACTCACAAGCAAGCCTGGTCTCCCAGCTTGGGATACTGGGAGAACAGAGTGAGGAGTAGAATAAAAAAAGTACTGCGCGTCATCGGAGCAATTATTCTAATTAAATAATATGGTGTTGATCGAGACTCTGTTGGATCTCTTGATTCGATGTAACTAGGTGCCTCAAGACGGTGGAGGAACGGTGGTCAGATCCAACGTTGTAAATTGCTGCAACTCGAATCCAGAAAGGGGGAGGGAACCTCCAAGCAATCAGAAAGCAAAGGTCGTTAGCAACCTCGCTCCCATCGCAAGAATCATTTCACTAGCAGCAAAGGAGGTGAGAAGGGAGACAGTAACGGGGACATGACATCAAATAGTGAAACTATGGTCGCTGTGGCTAGTGGGACGACTGTGGTCTCAGGAGCGGGGCTAGATAGTTGAGGGGTTCCCAGGAACCCAGTCCAAAAATGTTTAGCTATAGTTACTTTATTTTCATCATATATTCATCTTTTTAATCCAAGCTTAGGCAACCGTATCTATCTATCTATCTATTATCTATCTATTATCTATCTATTATCTATTATATACTGAAAGTCCATTAAACTTTCTACGAATGCTCTCAAGCTGCCACGTGGCATCCTATAAATACTTCTAAGCCGCCACATCGCACTCTTATAAATTAGAAAATTTCTTAAAAATCTACGAACAAAGAAAAACATCTAACCATTTTTTAAGCGTTTAGATTTATCCGAATCGATCTACAGGCAGGAATGTACGCATCCCTCTATCTTACGCACCCCTCTTTCTATCTTACAGTTGTTAAGATTTAATCCATGATCGTTACAGATTAATATATCTAATGGTCAACTTAATTCCTTGACTTCTCTCACGGACCGGAGGCAAAACTGGTTGTGAAAGAAATTCTGATGCATGTCCCATCTACGTTGATGCATACTTCATTGGTGGTCTTAGATTCGTTCTTTAATAAACTGTCTTTACAACCATGAAATTTTAAAATTAACATCCACAATTTATGATAAGATTAAACCATTGTATTTCTTTTAATTAAATTAACAATTTGAACTCCATAATTAGACATTTAATGACTCTTTTTCTAAACCGCCACGTAACGCTCTAATAAATCCTAAAAATTCTATGAAAGAAGAAAAAACATGTAACCGTTGGTTTTTATTTAATCGGGTGGACCATAGTTATCACCATTAGATCTATACCTTAAAAATCACCAATTAAATCTATCCCCAAAACCCACGTTTATGGCACTGATCGGTAAGTATGAAGGATATAAAAAATATGGTACGTTTACGCCTAGCTCCACGTCATTTTTTTTTCTTTTTTTCTTCTTTCTCACTTAGATTAGATGAAAAAACAAACCAAAAATTTAAGCCCATATGTAAAAATATATGTTATTTGGAGTTGTATAATAACAAGATGTATGTTGTCTGATCATCAATCCATAGGCAAGTAGATGATGCCACCAAGTGACAGACAAACAATAGTCGACTACTATTAAACTGCAACTATGAGTAATAATATTCCTACTCTCCTACAATACTTCTAGGATGCTACGTGATGCTCAAATAAATTAAGTATATGTAAGAAAAATAATAAGAAAAAATAAAGCATCTAGCCACTTATGTACACTTATACCGATGGATTCATTATTTTCAACCATTAGATTATATCTATTCAAGTAATCAAACCAGTTAATCCCTCCCTATGTACACATGTACACAGGAAATGTCGAAAAGAAAAAAAAAAGAGTACGTACGTATACGATCCTCCTGTTCGGTAGTTCTCTTTCTTTCTTTCCTTCTTTGTAGCTCTACGATTTTCCTATCTATTTACTTGAAAGTATTTTTTTTACCAACGATGAACTAAAAGGCAATTGCAAATGCTCATATAAACACGTGCATACCCATCCAATAAATACACATGCACGTACCCTATCCCTATGAGAGAAAAATATTTGTACGTTGAAAACCTAAGAAAAATGTACGTAAGTAAGTAAGAGACTACTAATCGCCCAAAAAACATACATGCGTATGTATAATCGTAAATATCAATGAAACCGCATTATAAACCCTTTTAATTATGTCAGTCTCTTCTAAATAGTGTTAACAGTTAGCAAAAATAATTTTGACAATATAGATGCATAAGTGAATTGATGTATAATAAAAGAAAAAACAAAAACCCATATTAATTCGAATGTTCGGGAAGGATGGTAATAGGCGAGTTTACATATAACCGGAATAAAGTGTTTTTTAATATGATAGATATTATCATTTAGTATATCAAAGTCTTTGGTCTATTTCATGGTACACTACTATAGAAGTGATCTTTGCTGGTCGGCCGATTTCCATAATAGCCCCGGTTCTAATAAGAACCGGGACTAAAGATTATTCTTAGTCTGGTTAAAATTTTTTTGATCTTTAGGACTAAAGATCATTTTTAGTCCCGGTTCAACAAGTTGTCGGGTCGAGGGCAAACCCCAATTATTTTTAGTCCCGGTTGGCATAAACAACCGGGACTAAAAATAGATCTTTAGTCCCGGTTGTTTATACCAACCGCGACTAAATACTGGAGCTGTGCGCGCACGCCTCGATCAGATCGCTCGTCCTTATCTATTAGCGGGCCTCGATCTCTCTCACAGCTCTAAGTCTTTAACTCCTCCACTCCCCTCTCGATCCCTCCTCCCTTCCCCTCTCTCCTCCCTCGATCTGCTCCCAGCGGCCTCTCGATCTGACGGCGGCAATGGCAGGCAGCGGTGGCGGTGGCGGGCAGGAGGCGGAGGCGGCGAGCAGTGGGCGGCGGCAGCGCACGAAGGGGGAGGCGGTGGGCGGCAGCGGGCGGTGGCGGCCGCAGGGGGAGGCAGCGGGCGGTGGGTGTCGGGACGAGGCGGGAGGCAGCGGCGGTGCCCTCCCCTCCGCTGGATCCGGAGGGAGGGGCGACTACAGGCGGCGGTGGGTGGCGGCACGGGAGACGGCTGGCGGCGGCAATGCCCTCCCCAGCAGTGTGAATTTTTTTTGAGAATTTGTTTGATTTTTTTTTGTGAAATTGTTGTGTCAATAATATGTGGATTTGTGATGTATGTGTGGATATCTGGTGGATTTGTGATGTATGTGTGAATTGGTGATGTCAATGTTCGATTTTGTGATGTTGATCCATGTGATTTTGGTGTGAAATCAATATGCAAAGAATAGTGAAAAAGAAAAGGAGAAGAATAGGGA